TGGCCACTTTGAGCGTTTCTTCGTTGGCATTCTCCCTTCCTTCGGCGGCCACTCTCAACTCGTTAGTAGTATTGGCCTTATCTGCTTCGGAATCGGCCCTAACTTTGTTTGCCACAGCTTTCATGGCCTCAGAATCGACCCGGAGAGAGGCCTTTGCTGCCTTTCCCTTCTCATTGTCCAGCTCGGCTGTAAGAAAGTCGATCTGTTCGATAGCATCGTGTTGGCGACGGCCAATTTCGGCTATCCTCCCTGCCGCCTACAAAACAAGGGATCAATAAGCTAATATAAAAACTTTTCTTTTGGTCAACCTTGCAAAATTACAAAGGGACACGTACCAATATCACCGATTGAGCGGCCAATGCGACGGCCAGCAGATCAGCCTCTGCCCTAAAAGCTGCTCTGTTAGCCGGCAGAGAAATGGAGGGTGCCAAGCTCAAGGCCACTGCTGGGTCTCTTATAGCCAATGCATTAGAGGTAACCGGCATGTTCTTTATCCTTGGTTGTATCGTAAATGGCACAACCAAGTCAAATTCTTCAATGCGTGGCCGTTTGTCAACTGGTTCTTCCGAATAATCGGCTTCGTACTCGGCCGGGCATTTTTCGCCCATGTGCTCCGTCACTTAACCCTCCTGTTGATCGATAACAGGTTCCGTTTCGGCCACTATGGTCTCAGCCTCTTCAACAGGAGCAGGTGGAGGAGTTTCTTCTCTAGCCTCGGGTAGAGGGGGTGGAGGTTGGTCTCGCTCGGCTTCGGCTCTCCTATGCGCAACCATCCTCTCTTCGTTTTTCTGTCTAGCCAATTGAGTGAGCGATTCACTAGCCATGTTGTTTGGATAGGAGCCGGGTAGGTCCCCTAAGTCGGTAAATATATCCTCAAAAAACACGTCCGTTCGGTTGGAAGTGGAGGGAAGATTGAGGCTAGCTTCTTCAAAAGCCAAATTTAGTACCGCGTCAACCTCTTCCTCTAGTTTGTCAGATTCGTCCAAAGATGGATGATTCGACTTCTCAGCGTCTCCTTCGGTAACTTGTTCTTTCGCCAGCTCTGAATCTGAAGCCTCAAAACTGATCTGCCTAAGATTCTTGAAGCTCGGAAAAATAAGCGCCGTGAGGTGCTGTTCGCCCCTTGGAATCGGAATATGTTCCACGGCTGAAAATGTGGAATTAGTCGGCTCGTATCGCAGAAGAATGTGGGCCACCCTCCCTTGTTTCTGGAGATTCGGATGGCCAGTGAACTGGAGTACCGTTCTGATCTGCGCAAGTATGGCGTCGTCGGCCAAAACTAGAACTTTCTTCAAATTGTTTCCTACACAATTAAAACGGTAAACACATGGAATTTGAATAAGAAATATTTAGTAAAAATTCATGGGGAATTAAACGGCCACCTGGTTCGCCCCTTCGCCTGGGCGCTGGATCTTGATGATTTTCGCCCTCGCCGAATTCCCAGTTTCCACGGACCACAACCATGACATCGTCAACTCGCTTGCTAGAACTGGCAAGCATAGTGACCAAATGATGGTCGAGGTCCTTGGCCTTGAGAAAGTAGCGCCCCTGCCGTCCAGAGGACATGGCCAAGACATAACAATGCCGAATGGCAGAGACTCCGAGGTTAAGCCTAAGGCACCGGTTTAGTTCTACAATACCCATTATTATTCGAAAAAAGTTTACGTTCGGCTGAGAAGGGATTAAACCCCAATGGCGAAGGACAACCTTTAAAAGTGGATGAAGGGGAAAACAGACTTCACCCTCCGCGATTGACAATAGAGGAAAGACGATTGTACTCTCATCAGTCCTCTCTATGTCAATCACGTTCTCTGCCAAAAGTGACAGATGAACGTCATCAGTGATAGAAAAGTGGCGACGGAAACCAGAGACTCTTTCCGCGGAAAGAAGGGCTCTCAAATGTTTAGCCATCACAGTATGAAAAATGGACACTCTACACAGTAAACAAACAAGGAAAAGGAAGTCGAGATGGAAGAAAGAGAAACTTACAAAAAATGAGGAGGACAATGAAGAGCAGAAAGAAGTTACAGAAGGCGAGAAGCGAGGAAGTTGAACTGACAGGCAACGAGAAACCTTGAGCATTCAAGAAAGAACATACAAACGAAAAGAAAACACGGCTTCAAATCATATCGAATGAATGTAATGTACGAAGGGGCGGGAAATTGTAATGATGCTCAAAAGTAGTAGGTGTCCTGACACTTGCATTGGAGTAAGGGATACCACCGTATTTTCTGACTCTCTAGGTCCAAAGACCAAACATGCCAACTAATTGACGTTAATAGGATGTTTGTGGGGCAATTGTGGGGGCCGAATAAATCTATTACGTACGGAGGCCGAATAACTTGAGGAAAGAAACCAAATTGTGAATTATATGGCTCCATCCCAGAGGGACGAAGGCCGAATAATTAGCTGTAGATCAAGCCGAGTACGAACAGTTAATCGAATGGGGGATTATTCATTGGAAGAAAGGTGAGCCCAACCGTCAACATCAAGAATGACTATAAATAAGGAGAGTATCAGCTAACAAAAGGTATGTGAGAACAAGTAAGTTTAACTTAAGATATAAGCGACCAATAGAGTATACTGACTTATCCATCGGAGTGCTAATTCCGGCACCCCTGACCGGAGTGTTCATTCATTTTCAGGTGACTAGCTGAGGATCTCGAGCGTCCTATTGGATCCAAAGAGTATTTCCAAACCACATCTCCACAACTATTAATACTACTAATAGGTTTGGTATGTTTGTTTTGTCTATTGGGTCTGTCTTACCCTTTGCCATGTCTGCTGTTACTATTCCTTCTGTTCTCTATGTTTCTCAGTTATCTGTCAGTTTATTATCTATCAGTCAACTTGATGCATCTGGTTTTGATGTTATCTTTTCCTCTTCTGTTTGTTGTGTGCAGGATCTGGTGTCCAAGAAGCAGATTAGGACCGGCCGTAGAGTTGGAGGTCTCTATGTGGTTGAAAGCTTACATCTCCCCTTATCCACCTCTCCAGCTGCACTTTCCTCGTTTCAATTAGATTCACAGTCGAGTGAGTTTTACTTATGGCATTCTCGCTTCGGTCATTTGTCTATTGACTGCTTATGGTCTTTAGCTCAGTCAGGGTTGTTGGGTAAAGTTTCTCCTAGTCAAATTGATGAATGTCGGGGGTGTAAACTTACCAAAATGTCAGCTTTACTATTTAATAAAAGAATACACCATTTATATAGAACACTAATTCCTAATCCTACATGAATACATCACTGATATATAGAAGTCTACTAGGACACTATTTCTGTTTTTCCTTTTTCTCTTGTGCATATTGATGTCTAGGGACCTTCTCTTGTTCTTATTAAAGGGGGTTCAGTATACTATGTGTTTTTTGTTGATGATTGTACCCATTACACTTAGGTATATCTTATGACTCATGAGTCTGCCTTTTACCAGATATACTGTACTTTCCAGTCTATGGTCACTACACAGTTTGGGTCTACTATTAAATTGTTGCGGTCTGACTTGGGTGGGGAATACTTTAAAACTGAATTCTGTGAATATTTAGCCAACTTAGGTACCATTCACCAATCTTCTTGTACTGATACACCTACCCAAAATGGTCAAGTTGAGCGTAAACACCGTCATCTCCTTGAGACAGCTAGGTCTCTTCTTCTCTCTATCTCCGTTCTGACTCTGTTTTAGGGTGAGGCAGTTCTTACTACTATTTTTCTTCTCAACCGTATGCCTACCCCCCTTCTTTTTGGTCGGTCTTCTTTTGAGGCTTTGTTTTCTCAACTTCTTAATTACTCCCTCCTTTGTGTGTTTGGGTCTGCTTGTTTTGTCATTTTACCCCGTAAGGATATGACCAAATTTAGTGCCCGGTCTGTCCTATGTGTTTTTTTGGGTTATAGTCTCACTCAGAAAGGTTATCGCTGTTATGACCCTATTTCTCTTGGCCTTTATGTCTCCCACTATGTTGCATTTCTCGAACGTCTATCTTACTTTTAGCTTCCTCCCCTCACCGCTCCAATTTCCAAAGAGGATTTGGTTTATATTAATCCATTTCCTTCTGAGGTCCCGTCTGATGAGTACATCTCCACAGTTCCTCCTGCGCTTGTTCCATCTTCTCCTCTTGTTTTACCTTTGACTGCTTCTCCTCATTCGTTCTTCGTTTATTCTCGTCGCCAAGCTCCTCCTCCACCAATTGTCTCTGCCTCTGCTGCTGATCCTCCTGCTTCTGACGACTCTGATCCTACTGCATAACGATATCCTCCTCAAGCGCGTCATCCTCTAAACAGGTTGGGTTGGTCTAATACTTATTTTTCTACTTCCTATCGTACCTTTTTGTCTGCTATTCACTCTTTTGCAGAACCTTAGTCTTACAAAGAGGCCTGTCAGGATTCTAATTGGGTTCAAGTTATGGAGGATGAGTTGTTTGCTCTACAGAAAACTAGTACTTGGGAGTTGGTTCCTTTGCCTACTGGTAAGAATCTGATTGGTTACAAATGGGTCTACAAAGTCAAGACTCATTCTGATGGTTCTCTTGAGCGCTGCAAAGCACGTTTGGTGGCCAAAGGTTTCACCCAAGAGTATGGTATTGATTATGAGGAGACATTTGCTCCTGTTGCCAAGATGACTACTATCCATACTTTGATCTCTGTCGCTGCTGTTCGTTCTTGGCCTCTTTATCAGATGGATGTTAAAAATGCTTTTCTTAATGGCCATCTCATTGAGGAGGTTTACATGCGTCCCCTCCCTAGTCTTCACCATTCCTCTGGTCAGGTTTGTCGTCTTCGGCGTGCTCTGTATGGTCTGAAGCAGTCTCCTTGTGCTTGCTATGATCGTTTTCAGACTGCTGTTACCGAGCTTGGGTTTTATCCTTTTGCTTCTGACTCTGCTTTATTTCTGAGACATACCTTAGCTGGTTTTATTGCTCTCTTACTATATGTAGATGATATGATCATCACTGATTCTGACTCTTCTACTATCTCTGATGTCAAGTAGCATCTCTTTCGCACCTTTGAAATGAAGGATCTGGGCCCGTTGCGGTATTTTCTTAGTATTAAGGTGGCTTTTTCTCCCAAGGGTTACTTTTTGTCCCAAGCTAAATATGCTAACGAGGTTATCCATCGTGCCAAACTTACTGACACTAAGCTTTTTGATACCCCCATTGAGCTTAATATAAAGCTCAACACTACTGATGGTGTTCCTCCAGACGATCTTACATTATATCGCGAGCTGATGGATTGCTTAGTCTATCTGATAGTTACTTGCCCTAATCTTGCCTATGCTGTCCATGTGGTTAGTCAGTTTGTTTCTACTCCTCGCTCTTCACATTGGGCTGCTTTGCTTCGGATTCTTCGCTATCTTTGTAGCACCATCTTTCAAGGCTTGCTATTCTCTTTTACTTCTTCCTTAGACTTGGTGACTGATGCTGATGCTGATGCTGATTGGGCTGGTGATGTTAATGATCGTAAATCTACTTTTGGTTTCTATATGTTTCTTGGCGATTCCCTGATTTCTTGGAAAAATAAGAAACAAACTATTGTTGCCCGTTCTACTACCGAAGCTGAGTATCGTACTATGGCTCATGCTACTGCTGAAATTGTTTGGCTTCGTGGTCTCTTATCTGACTTGGGCATTCCGCAGTCTTCCCCGACCTCTCTCTATTGTGACTAACAAGGTGCTATTCAAATTGCTCATAATACTGTCTTTCATGAATGGACAAAGCATATTGAGATTGATTGTCACTTCGTCCGTCAGCATCTGCAGTCTGGCTTTATCTTGCTTCCTTTTGTCTCTTTGGCTCTGTAACTTGCTGACTTCTTCACTAAGACTCACACCACTGCTCGGTTTCGGTTTTTTCTTGACAAACTCTTAGTGTTTTCTACTAAAACACCTTGAGTTTGAGCGGGGGTGTGAGAATGTGTTCTCCTTTTTCCTTATAGGATTAGGAAGTAGTGTCCTATTAGACTTCTATATATTAGTAATGTATTCATGTAGGATTAGGAATTAGTGTTCTATATAAATGGTGTATTCTTTGTCAATTAATTAATTCTAATATACAGTTTTCGTTTAGAAATCTTACAGTAAAAGGTGACGTTTGGCGGTAAATCGGTGATGAAGCAAACGATCGTAAGTGTCGATGGCGCTACATTGGTTTCTTGCATGTTTTCCTATTATGATGACCGCACGAAATCAAAAATCCAAACATCCACAGTAGAATGAAAACATCAGAAAATAAACACAATAAACACCAACCTCGAATGAGTCACAAATCCCGTTAAACACACCAACCCAGAATCAGCAGCACATACAATTAACACACATTCAAATCTACATAAAAAAAAAAGATTCCACATTAGGAATAAAACATCAAGTAGGCAACACTATTCACCCCCCAAATCACTCCACACATGTCTCCTTAAAAAAATATTTACGTTAGACACATACCTTAACCACATATACTGTAACGAGTTGAATCAAATAGAATTTTTTCCCCTTATTATTATTGTTATGGTATTGTGGATTATTCTATTTAAATTGATGAAAACAAATTATATTACATGTTGATTTTGACTTCGTAAGGCCTATTTGGATTTTTTTTTTTTTGGAGTTTTTATTCTTGAGTCTTGAATATTAAATGAGATAAATTTAATTTTTGAGACTTATTTGATTAACCCATACTTAATCATTTTGGTTCATATTTTATTATGTAAATGGTGGGGATCACCTTGAGTCTATTTAAATTATTTTATTCTTTAATCTCAGTTGGAGATTTATTCTAAATTATTAAATTGCAGTCATTTTGGACTCATTTGATTGAATCACGACTCGTTTGTAACCATCTATTATTATTATTATTTATTTTATTATCATGAAAGTTACGAATATTTATAGTGTGCACCATTAAACGAAATATATTTTATCGTGTGAAAAGATTATATCATTTTTGTCATTTATGTTACTAAATTTATAATGATATTGAAACATATTTTTAATTGATATATATATATATATATATATATAAATGTATATGTAGAGATAGATATTTGTATTGATTTGAAAATAAAAAAAAATAAAAAAAAGGACAAACCCCCATGTGGGGTTGTCCACCCCTTTGCCATTCTTTTCTTTGCATTTTCCAGAGAGTTGCCTAGCTCTCTCTCCCACTCTCGGTCCTCTCTCTCTCTCGGCTCAGTTCTCTCTCCCTCATAATTTTTTTTTTCTTTGACATTCAACATGTATAACTTTTGATCCACCAAAATCTATTAGGTTTTAGACCCTAGTTCTTGAGGCCAAAGTGAAGAGATCGGTGAGAGCAACATTTTGACCAGTGGAGATTGTAATCCGCCAACGTCAAATTTTGGGGTTTTCATTCATTCTCTCTCCTAAGCTTTGAGGTAGGGATTTTTTAAACATTGTATATGTGTTTTAGCTTTATTATGTGTTATTTTGATAAGAGATTAGGGTTTTTATTAAAAATATATTTAATGTACAAAAAGGGGAAGATTCTCAAATAATATATATATATATATATATATATTTTAAAGTTTTCAACTTGTTAAATGTGGTTGTTGTGGGATCCAAGAATTTGATAAATTTATTTTTAAAATGAGAAATCTCCAAATTTTGATAAAACCCTAGGAACTTGAAATGTTAAAAATTTAGATGTTTGGCTAAACTTATGAGAAATTTATAAGTGTTGAAAATTTATGTTTATTGAACAAATAAGAATGTGAAAGTGGATGTTCAAAGGAAGTGAGATTGATGAGAATGATGTTGAGAATATTGGAAACTATTGAGATTCCTTTTAAAAATTGTTTAATTTAAAAATATTGAACTCTTGAGAAAGATGAAAAAATATTTATCATGTTATGCTATTGAGAAATGTCGAAAGAAACTTATGTTATTTATTTATTTATTTTTGCATTATGAAAATTCTTGGTGAATTCTTGAGTTTGAATAAAAGGGAAAATTGATGAAATTTTTGGAAGAATATTATAATTCTTGATTGAGCTGGAAAAGAGGAGATTGAACATGTGATTGTTACTATTATGTTGAAATGATTGAAAATATGAGATTATAAGTCATATTTGTCTCTTGAAATTTATATTTTGTATAGAGATAATTGTTTGGGCAACCGTGGAGGGTTGTATTGATTATTGTTGAAATTGCATTTGAAATAGGTAAGTTGAAATATTTACAAATTCATGCATGGCATTGAACATTGCATAATCTGATGATTTAATCCTCGCATTGGATTTGAGAAATTTATTTTCAAATTGACTCATTAAGAATATTTGAAATGTGTTGAGTTATGGGGTAAATACGTTTGGTAAGTCCAGATAAGGGGTGTAGATTGGTATTGTTTAAGTTGACCTGATTGTCCAGTGTGAAAGATCGAAAACACGTGCGGAGTAGGTACCACGTGCCTTCTGGTTAGGAGCCGGTAAAGTGGAGATTGGTAGTGCTAGTTATGAGTATTTGCAAACACCAGCTTAGAGATTACCAGTGTCATATTTGCCGCCTCTTGTTCTATCAAACGAATGATTGAATTGGTTATGTTTTTGAACAAGTGCATGGCATGAGAATTTTAAAATAAAAAAACCTATGATTTTGGCATTGGCATATCACATGCATTGCACCTCATGATATTGTTAAATTACGTGCACTTTATTTAGATTATCTCTTATGCTCATTCCTTAGTGGAAATCATTTTTCAGGTGATTGTGGTGTGCCTTCGCCAAAGTGAAGGCGTGGAGGATCTTTTTGAGCACAAGGCTCATTTATTTATTTGTTTTGTTTTGTTTTGCAAGCCAAGGACTATTTATGTATGGGTTTGAAAATCACTTTGTTGTAACCAGGCAAAGCCTTGGAACTTGTAGCCATTAAGGCATTAATTTGTATTTTGTTGCTTTAACTTGTTATTATCACATGTTATAGATTTATATCTTAGGGATGATGGATATTAATGCATGTGGTCTCTCTTTTGCAAAATCTCATATTTGATATTTTTAATTAAAAAAATGGAGATTTAGTATGAATATTGACTATTGAAAGGTCTATATTATTCAATGTTCTTGTATGTAATAATAAGAAGTAATGGGATTTAGATTATGTCTTTGAGTTAATTTGGTTATATCAGATGCTAATTTTTGGAGGTGTTACAACTTGGTACCAAAGCTACCAGGTTTGAATACTTAGGGCTTGTGGGAAGTGGTTTTTACCATAGTGGGTTCATTTCGCTTGTCAGAAATGTTGTATACCTTATGTGTTATGTGATAACATGTTTATGTGACTATGTGTGTATGGGGTTAAACTTCTGAGATATGATTCGCATCCATGAAATTCTTAGAAGTCCTTTTAGAAAAACACCTGATCAATGCTATTTTTATTTGGAAGTCTTTGAATGTTTGTGGGACGAACCAATATCTTGGAGTGGTAACTCGTATGTGCTCTATGTAACTATGTGCTTATGTGGTTTGCCTTATGTAATGCAGATACATATGTAGGTTTATGTTTAATCCGTATGCCATGTATGCTTAATGACATGTATGCTGCTTAGCAAAGCCATAGGTTGAATACAAATGGAATGCCATGATAAAACATGCATTTTCTCTTTGAAACAGTGCAATGCAAGATTTTCAAAACATCTTTCCAGTAATTCTTTTCAAAAATGACAAGACGGTAAATATAATGAATAAATCTTCAGCACTAGTGTTCATAATAGGTAGCTATACAAGCTATCTATGCCATTTCTTTGGGATTATCCAAATGGAATTGGCACTTACTGCGCGGGATTTCTGGTCTTATACCAAGGACACACATGCCAAATTAATTACCACACCCCCTCATAGCTTCACCATTTTATTTACCCTTTCCAATAACACAAAACATGTGTTTTCAAAACAAGAATACATTTTCAGAATATCAAACATTAGTTACAAAACCATGCTATGCACAATGAGATGAACGTTTGGTAAACAAGTCATTTGCCTGATCCACATACAGTTTCTAATACACGGTAATACTATCCTCCACCGATAGCCAAACAGTTATGTCTAAACATATATTGAAAGATAATAATAGTAACATAACCAACAAAATCTCAACTCTAGAATCCCATGATTTTTACAAAATCTCAATGATCCCAATAACCAACATCCATCCTCCTGACGAGTTTTGTAAATCTCAACATAAACATTTAATTTCCAAAACCATTTCAAAATCATTTTCCAACCAAAACCGTTATTTCGAAAAGCGTAAACATAAACCGATACTTTCCAATTGAGAGGGTAATTTATGAGTAAATTAGGCCGAGCTGGGTAATGGGCCGTTCTATGGGCCATAGTAAGAAGGGCTTAGTAAGTGGACCGTAGTCCAGGTGTTAGCTCGGTCCAAGTATGGAAGTGACCTAGCAAGGGTTAGCTCGGTCCGGGAATAATCATGGTCGCCACGGTTAGAGTAGATAGTTAGCCCGGTCCAAGAGAGCTCCACCGTTAGTTCGGTTACCACACTCAGAGCGGTGACAGTTAGCTCGGTCATACTATATTGGGCCGAAGTATGTTGGCTTTTGCTTAGGACCTTGCTGTTAGATAGCTCGGTCCAAACTCATTGTGGATAGCACGGTTTCAGACAACCCAGTTGGAATATGTCAACTGAGGTACACGCGCAGT